GTAATGTAAGTGAAAATACTTGTTCTTTAAGTGCTAAGTTAAAGTTGCTCTTTCTTTTTTTCCTTTTTTTTTTTTTTTTAAGACAGAGTCTCACTGGGTCGCCAGGCTGGAGTGCAGTGGTGCGATCTCAGCTCACTGCAACCTCCGCCTCCCGGGTTCAAGCAATTCTCCTGCTTCAGCCTCCTGAGTGGCTGGGACTACAGGCGTGCGCCACCACTCCCAGCTAATTTTTTTGTATTTTTAGTAGAGATGGGGTTTCACCATGTTGGTCAGGATGGTCTTTATCTCTTGACCATCGTGATCCGCCTGCCTCGGCCTCCCAAAGTGCTGGGATTACAGGCATGAGCCACTGTGCCTGGCCTAAAGTTGTTCTTTAAGTGCAGCCTTGACCTCCTGGGCTCCAGAGATCCTCCCACCTCAGCCTCCTGAATAGTGCCACCATGCCTGGCTAATTTTTTAATTTTTTGTGGAGATGGAGTCTCTCTATGTTGTCAGGACTGGTCTTGAACTCCTGGGCTCAGGTGATGCTACTGCCTCAGCCTCCCAGAGGGCTCGGATTACAGGTGTGAGCCACTTGGCCTGGCTGTCTGCAATTTTTATTGTCAGAAGAGATGAAAACTATCATTGAAATCTGCCCATTGGGCAATACACTGTCTAGCAATGAATGGTCAAAAGTGGTAGGTTCAGGCTTCTAAAATTCAACAACTTGAGCATTTTCATCAGTATCTCATACTAGGACTGTAAATTTCAAATTGAATTACTGCCCTAATTTATGTGTCAAGATAAGAAACACTGAGTTTCAGCTGCCACTGAAATAGTGCTTACTACAGCTAGTCTGGAATCTTGTGGGAAGATTACCTGTGAAGATTACAAACTGAAGAAAGATGCAAATGGAAAGAATTTTATGAAAGATTGAAACATAATTTTAAATTTCAGAATTTCTGGGGCCAGAAGTAAAGAGTATTACACGTATTATATCTTTCCTACAACGTAGAGAAGGTGGATCCAACCTGATCTTATGTGCTTGTTCCACCTTAAGGTTGTCTCTTACCCATATTGGTTCCAAAAAAAGGATCTTTTTGTCAACAATCCATAAGAAACAGTTTAACTTTCTACACTGTGTGTAGAAACTTAGCATTAAGAACAAGCATTTTAACTTACAGTACTGTAATATACTTAAGTAATTTTTAAGCTTACTATTTTTCAATAACTATATACAGAAAACATGTAAGTTGGCTGCTTCATAACAACCTAAGGAGAAGTGGACTGGGATTTCTTAGTAGCCCATTTATTTCTTCCATGATTCTTTTTAAAACTAACCTTACAAAACAGCCTTTCCCTGTTTTTGGTATCTTGTCCTCTTTGCAGTAACAGTCTGCTCCCAGATTTATTTATTTTTTTTATTTTTTATTTTTTTTTTTTTTTGAGACTGAGTGTTGCTCTGTTGCCCAGGCTGGAGTGTATTGGCATAATAACAGTTCACTGCAGCCTCAACCTTCCACGCTCACATGATATCCCACCCGTGCCTCCTGAGTAGCTAGGACCACAGGTGTGCACTGTGCTTAATTAAAAACAAAAATTATTTGTAGAGATGGAGTCCCCTGTATTACCCAGGCAGGTCTTGAACTCCTGGGCTCAAGGGCTTCTCCCACCTCAGCCTCCCTAAGTGCTGAGATTACAGGCATGAGCCACCATACCTGGCCTGCTCCCAGATTTTTCATTCTTGGATTCCATGTTACCCTGTGGCCAACTGACTTAAAGATAATGACCTTTGGGAGGCCGAGGCGGGCGGATCACGAGGTCAGGAGATGGAGACCATCCTGGCTAACACGGTGAAACCCCGTCTCTACTAAAAATACAAAAAATTAGCTGGGCATGGTGGCAGGCACCTGTAGTCCCAGCTACTCGGGAGGCTGAGGCAGGAGAATGGCGTGAACCCGGGAGGCAGAGCTTGCAGTGAGCTGAGATCGTGCCACTGCACTCCAGCCTGGGCGACAGAGCAAGACGCTGTCTCAAAAAAAAAAAAAAAAAAAAAAAAGATAATGACCTAATGAATAAAGTATAGGCCAGCTCTGTTGGCAGACTTCAGAAGCATCAGCCGTGTCACTGCTTAATTCTGCATTTTTTTTTTTTTTTGAGATGGAGTTTTGTTCTTGTCACCTAGGCTGGAGTGCAGTGGCGAGATCTCAGCTCTGCAACCTCCATCTCCCAGGTTCAAGCGATTCCCCTGCCTCAGCCTCCCGAATAGCTGGGATTACACGTACCCGCCACCATGCCTGGCTAGTTTTGTATTTTTAGTTGGCCATGTTGGCCAGGCTGATCACCAACTCCTGACCTCAGGTGATCTGCCCGCCTTGGCCTCCCAAAGTGCTGGGATTAAAGGCATGAGCCACCGCGCCCAGCCAATTCTGCAATTTCTGGGCACAATTTTAGCAAATAGCAGGTATGTCATAGAGGGAAATCCAGAGTCACTTTTGCCAGTAGTTAGTGCAAAAGGAGTTAGGAGTCATTTTTCTATTGCAGCTGTCCATGAAAGGCATGATTGATATTCTGCGTATCAGATGCAATATTTAAGAGACACTCTACATTTAACTTGACCCCCTCTCTACCTAACAGAGCTCTACTGATGTGCACATCACTTTTTCTTTGTCCCACATTGTAGGTGCTCATGTGACTATCACGGATCGAAAAGTAGCATTAGAATTTCTTAAATCAAACGTTCAAGCCAACTTACCTCCTCATATCCAACCCAAAACTGTTGTTAAGGAGCTGACTTGGGGACAGAATTTGGGGAGTTTTTCTCCTGGAGAATTTGACCTGATACTTGGAGCTGATATCATATATTTAGAAGAAACATTCACAGATCTTCTTCAAACACTGGAACATCTCTGTAGCAATCACTCCGTGATTCTTTTAGCATGCCGAATTCGCTATGAACGGGATAACAACTTCTTAGCAATGCTGGAGAGGCAATTTACTGTGAGAAAGGTTCACTATGATCCTGAAAAAGATGTACATATTTACGAAGCACAGAAGAGAAACCAGAAGGAGGACTTATAATTGGCTATAATTTATAAGAATGCTGTCATTGAGTGTGTCACTTAAGGTCTTAGACTGCAAATCTAAACATATTTAATGAAATGTCTTACTGTACAAAAAGTCTAAAGCAAAGGCTCTCAGGGGAGAAAGCACATGTGCAGTTTTAAAACAAAGCAGTGCTTTGTCCCATTGCTATGAGTTTTAGTCATATTTACTCACACTGAAATCCAATTAACATTAAAGGATTAAGAGTGAGATTTTGGTTTATGCTATTTCTGTATCTCATACTACTCCCTCTTAATAAAGTTTCCACTGATGACATGAAGGCTGGTATAAAGATGTCTTTAAATGAGCAAGCTTTCTTTGGTAAGATTAAATCTTAACAAATTATTTTTAAAACCTTCTGATATATACAATGTTTAGCCAAGTTTTCTAATTTTCTGGATGTAAAACAAAAGGTTTAACATACATTCCTTGAGCTGTTAGTGCTATTGAAACCTTTTGCCCTGTTTAGATCCTAAAAACTTTTAGTTGGTTGAGTAGGATATGAGTTTTTTTGAGTCTCATATCATACTTTTTGCCTTAATTTCAGGTTTATATATGTTAATAAAGGAATTAAATAAAAATGAAATTTCAGTTACTTTTTGAAAGCACCTGAAATCTGGCTGGGTGCGGTGGCTCATGCCTGAAATCCCACCACTTTGGGAGGCTGAGGCGGGCAGATCACCTGAGGTCAGGAGTTCAAAAACAGCCTGGCCAACATGGTGAAACCCCATCTCTACTAAAAATACAAAAATTAGCCGGGTGTGGTGGCAGGCGCCTGTAATCCCAGCTACTTGGGAGGCTGAGGCAGGAGAATCACTTGAACCTGGGAGGCAGAGGTTGCAGTGAGCTGAGATTGCACCATTGTACTCCAGCCTGGGGGACAAGAGCAAGACTCTGTCTCAAAAAAAAAAAAAGCACCTGAAATCTTGAATAGGTTGTCTATTTCAAGTCAGAAGCTGAGGCTTTCCCCTTCTGCTTTACCCTTGCTCAAATGTCTTAATGCAGTTCTTTCCCAAGCTTTCCTTGCTTCCTTAACAATGCATAGGATGACATTAGAAGTTTTAAATCTCATCCCTCCCTGAGAGGTTAGCTTCCCACATATAAGCTCCTTTTGTATTGTACTTGTAATTGCTCATTCAACATTAGTATTGCCCCATAGAGTGTAAGCTTCTTGAGGGCCAAGAATGCTTCTGCCTCTTCCATTGTTGCTTCCCGAGTACCTTCTGTATATTTCATAACCAAATAATGAAAAAGATATATTCCATTTAAAGGACATTGACTTTGGGTTAAATGATTGTTATACTGTTTGATGATTATCTTTGATACACTTTGACATCTCACATACACACGAACTTTTCTTTTTACAATGCAAACGTTTAAACAATAGCTTAACTTTAGACTGCAAGAATATTATAATCTCAATATGGTATTTGGTACTAGAGATAGATTTCTTTTATAAAATCTTAAAAACAGGACGTTCTCTTCCTTTTGATCCCAGAGGTGAAAATATTCAGTATGTTGTTTTCTACATATATTGAAATAGCAGTTTCACTTTAATAAAGATGGATTAAAAGTTGTGAGCATTCTGTGATATACTAGTTCAACACAATTCTAATACACATGAAATGGAAATATCCATTGCTTACTGAATCCATAAAATGTCAGTGCTGCACCATGAATATGAAAGATGGTTTAAAACAAAGCCTGGCAGTATCACCAACACTATAATGGCAAGCCAGTCGCACTTAGGTATGTTATCGGAAATGCATATATTAGTTAGAGTTCAGTTTCTTTAAGATCCATAACTTTGGAGATGGGTGTTAACATGGATGGGGCAGGGTGGGTTAGAGGTGGGAGCTTCAATAATATGCCTGGGTGATCTACCAAATGAGGTAAGCTATTATTGGGTTGTTTTCCATTTTCATAAAACATTAAGAATCAGAAAAATTTGAAAGCAGCTTTTTTCCTTTGACCTACAAATTAGAAGCACAGGCAAGAAAAAACAAAAATCAGAAATAGTTAGGTTGTCCAAGTGAAAAATCAAGTGATTATCTTGGCTTGGGGCTTAGAATGTTGTTGCAGGTCAGGTTCCTTGGGGAAATAGACTCAAAGATTGAGATTAGGGTGTGAAAAGTTTAAATGGGGACACTTTCTCCAAGATCAATATTCTGACCTTGGAAAGCAGACAGACTGGGAAAGAGGAAGAAATTGGGCTGGATGTAGTCAGGAAAGTCCTCAGCTAATTCTTTAGAGTTGAGATGGTCCTGCAGTTAAGCCATAATTAAGGCAGGTGATGGTCCTTTATGACCCTGCGTGGACTGGTGGATACAAGGGTCATAACCTGAAGCTGAAGACAGTACTGGAGAGGGAGTCTGTTGGGAGCCATCAGCCATCAACATTCCCAGAAGCTGGGGAAATGAGTGTTTCAGGTGTGTGTGTGTGACAGCGAGCAAGAGTGTATCTGGGCAGCACACCACAGTGTCCACTATCAATGTCAGTGAAGTTGGGATGTATTTTTTACTTAAATATTTTATCCCATAAATGCACATTTTAAGTGTGCTTGTTTTGTCCTCAAGTTAAAGATAGAAACCTAATCCAAACCTATTTTACTAAGTCTTGATTCTCACTCACATTGCCCAATTTCTTTAAACAGTTATGCATTTAAATAATCCAGTGGGTGTCACTAACTTTTCCCCCAATTAATACCAAATACTGCTGTCAAGATGCTATGTTAAAATGTATGTACGATACAAGGTTCTTGGAACCCCACTATAAAGAATGCTGTTTTCCAAGTAGATTATCACTTAAAGGGTAGCTTGCTTTAGTTCATGGTAGATAGCCTGGATACCATCTTCAAATAGTAGTTATCAAAATGCTTTTATCTGTTAACACTAGATTGCAAACTCAGGGCAGAATAACATCATTTGGAATGTTTTATCTTAGCAAATACAATTTATGCTCCTAGAAGGCAAGGATGATAGCACATGTCCATATATCGTTTTCTTTTTTTTTTGAGATGGAGTTTTGCTTGTTACCCAGGCTGGAGTGGAGTACAGTGGCGTGATCTTGGCTCACTGCAGCCTCTGCCTCCTGGGTTCAGGTGATTCTTCTGCTTCAGCCTCCTGAGTAGCTGGGATTACAGGTGCCTGCCACCACGCCCAGCTAATTTTTTGTATTTTTAGTAGAGATGGGGTTTTAATTATATTGGCCAGACTGGTCTTGAATTCTTGACCTCGTGATCCACCCACCTCAGCCTCCCAAAGTGCAGGGATTACAGGTGTGAGCCACCATGCCTGACCTTATATTCTGTATTTCAGGTGGTAACATGGTACCCTGTTCATAAAGGGAGTTCACATTGACTCATGAAAAATACACATTCTTTTACAGATGAGTTACCATATGCCTAATTTATGTGCTTTATTTCTCCTTGCCCAAGGTATAGGAGAAATAAATTTGCAGGAATATTAAAGTATCGAGGCATACTTAACAAAATTACCATAATGTAAAAGATTCACAAAGATTCACCTCCAATAATAATACCATTTAATTGCTGTTTATGGTAAGCATTTACTGCCAATTCTTTAAAAATGAACAAAAATAAAATTTTAAAGTACTTAAAAAAAAATCACTATATAATGTACCCCAGTACTGTTAAGTGGCCCTAGGTATAGGACTTCACTTAATAGTTGGTAAAACAGACTTGTAATTTGTGTTAGTGTTAGACAAACAGTCACAACCTCACTGCTCCTCAGAATGTCTCTCTGGAGAGAAGTAGCTTTCTCAAGGTCTTTAACACGAATGTAGTAAGTGAGTATAGAGAACCCTGCTCTGGGAAACTGGAGACTTTTATTGTCTTAGCACTGACATAAACAGCATGACACCGGATAGTCCTTAGTTCTGTTTTACCTTAAAACGTGAAGTTTTTTTTTTTTTTTTTTTTTTTTTTGAGACAGGAGCCTTGCTCTGTCACCCAGGCTGGAGTGCAATGGCACAATCTCGGCTCACTGCAACCTCTGCCTCCCGGGTTTAAGCGATTCTCCTGCCTCAACTTCCCAAGTAGCTGGGATTACAGGCGCCTGCCACCATACCTGGCTAATTTTTGTATTTTTTAGTAGAGACGGGGTTTCACCATGTTGGTCAGGCTGGTCTCAAATTCCTAACCTCAGGTGATCTGCTCGCCTCTGCCTTGGCCTCCCCAAGTGCTGGGATTACAGGTGTGAGCCACCGCACAAGACCCAACTTGAAGATTTAATTGTTAGCTCTTTCTGCTCTAAAATCATGTTACACCTTTCCTTCTACAACCAGAGAGGAGTTAAACATTTAGTAACACTAGAAAAGATGGCATATTGAAAACTTGTTTCTTTGCTGAGAACAGTTGTTTCTGAGGATGAGATTAGAAAGAAAACAGTATTAACAGAGATGAGAAAAGGAAAGTCTTATTAAAGTCTGTGCCACTTCTAATTTTAATTCCAGAAAAAAATGCCTAGACTGTAAAGTTTGACATAAAAATAGTAATCAACGTAACTTAATAAAAATTGCTTAGCAGATACCTAATAATCATTAGGAAACAATATCCAAATATGAAGAAAACCATAATTCAGAAATAACTTTTACTTCTCAGTATTCTGGAGATAAAACTTGTGTAGACCTAGTTACCAACCTGTGTATATCTGTAACAGTAAAAAATTTCAAACAGCCAAATGTCCCCAAAAGAGGGTACTGGTTAAACTATATCTGTACAATGGCAGCTGTTTATAAACCACTGTTTGTAGCTACCTTTTGTGTAAAAAAGGGAGAGGGAGGAGGAGAGAACATACATTATATTTGTGTATATATGCCCAGACTGTCATGAAAAACATAACACAGAAAACTGCTTCTTACAGTTTGCCCTTTTGCATGTTCCATTTTTTTTTACAAGTGTATATATTTCATAAAGTTTGAAAATAATGAGGACATTATAAAGCAAAAATTTATAGGTGAAATATTATAAGGGCCTAGTACCCAGAATATATAAGGAACTTAGAACCCAACAATAAAATTTCAGTGAACAAAGGACTTGAACAGACGTTTCTCCAAAGAAGATACACAGGTGGCCAACACAAGAAAAGATGCTCTACATCATTAGTAATCAGGGAAATGCAAATCAAAACCACAATGAGAGACGACACCCATGAGGATGGCTATAATTTTTTGAATGGCAAAATAAGTGTTGATGAAGGTGTGGAGAAATTGGAACCCTCATACGTCAATGGTGGAAGGTAAAATGGTACAGCG